CTGGCAAACAGATGGCTGCAGGAGGAAAGGCACGGGGTCAAGCCCACCAGAGCGCTCCACCGCGAGGGAGCTGTGAGCCGTGCCCAGCGGGCCAGCGAGCCCCCGGCCCTGGCATCGGACTTTACTTAGCGAGAGGAGCATTCTTCTTAACACAGCAGCTCAAGGACAAAAGAGCGCGGAAGCCCCCACCCCCACAGGCCCCTTTTCTTCTAAGAGAGGGTCAGAAGTCCTTCCCCCTCCTCCTCCCCCACTTCCCAATTCTATGCACAAAGCTCCACCTCTTAATACCCAGAAAGTGTGTGTGTAGATAAGGGTGGACAGCTGGTATGCAGAGTACCAGGGCAAGACAGCTGCTCTATTGTCTGTTCTCTCCCAGCAGCTGCCCCAGTGCAACAATACCGGCCTCCCCCTCACACCCCATGCCCCCACCCCTCACACACACCCCTAGCATGTACACACACACACACACACACACACACGCACGTGCACCCTTTCCGCCAATGGGAACAGGCGTGCGTCCCAGCCGCCTATCCCCGGAGAGATCTAATCGATGGCACGCGCGAGCTGGGGGCAGGGAGAGACTCCAGTGTTTGAATAAGAAGAAAAAAGTTTAAGTTTATGGCCACCCCACGGCGAAGGAGAGGGCGGGTAGCCAGGAGGGAGGCGGCAGGCAAGCCTGAAGTCCCGGAGGCAGGGGGAGGGGGCGGTGCTGGAGGCTGAGGCTCGGGGCTGGCTTCCTTCTCCTGGCGAGGAGACTCATTAACGAGCCGCCCCACAAGTTTTCAGGACAACAGAGCCAGCTCGGGCCAAGGCAAGCTCAAAGGAGCCGAAAGCTGAGCGGGCTGAGCAACCATGACGCTGGAGGCAGGACCAAATCAGAACTGAGAAAGTGCCCCTCCCAGCGAGGGGTTCTACCCTACAGGAGAAGGTTCCTGGGCTCAGGGCAGGAGGAGGAGCCCTGGGGTTTCTGGGGGAGGCTCCCCACCCGACTCTGGGGAGACGTGGAGTGAGACGGGGGGCAGTGAGGCACCTGGGGTCCAGCTGAACTAGGCCCAGGAGCCAGCCGGGTCCCGAAGCCTGCACCTGTGAGAACACAGAGCTGTGGGCAGGCAGGGCCGGAGTCACTCCTGTGAAGGTATTTCCTTCCCGGGTAGGGCGCTCTGTGAGCACCCCACAACAGGGCAAGCGAGCCCCTCCCCAGGCAGAGCTGGCAGACTCACGTCCCCCAGAAGTGAAACTGTCACAAACAGTGGGATGTTTTTAAATACACTGGCTCTGCAGAGAGGCCGAGCACACCAACTCTGGAGAGAATGAAGCTCTCTTCAATGAGACGCTGTCTCGCAAAGAGAACTCCTTTGGTAAAAGCATGCCCTGCACACAGCCTCCTCTCTGTTCCTCCCTTCCTTCCTCCCTCCCTTCCCTTTGGCTTACTTCCTGACCCCTGGCCCTGTGTCCAAAATCCTCCTGATTAAGAAAGGCAGCTTCCCATTGCGGAAGTTACAACGTCTGAGTCGACCCCAACCCGCCTCTGGCTGACTATGAGGTCTCAACTAATCTCTCTGGCTCCCTGGCCCAGTTTCCACCCCCCAGAACGTCTCCCTGGGGCTAAAATCGCAGGATCCCAGCAGCTCCGAGAATATGCCCCCCTGCTCAGGAGTGCAGGCCTGGGGGAGCAAGCTGAGGGCGGTGGCCTCCCTCCCTGGGACTCACGCTCTGTGCAGTACTGGCCCTTCCAGCCAGGGTTGCAGACTTTCTCTCCTCTCTCCCCGCAGGTGAAGTGGCCGAAGGCGTCATCTCGGGGGCGGCAGAAGACGGAGCAGCCTTCCCCGAAGTAGTGCTCATCACACACAAAGCGATAGGAGTACTTGAGGTCTGTGCGGCCGCTGCTGTGCAGGTCCTGGGACCACTCCTCGCCAACCGTCAGGTGCCTCTGCGTGGCCAGGCGGCTGATAAGTCTTTCTGGGTTCTCTGTAGAAAGAGGACGCCCCGTTGGTTCTGACTGAGAACCCCGAAGCTTGGGGAACTGGGGAGAAGGAAAGGATGCCAGGCAGGGAGGCTTAACCCTTCTCCTGGACCTCCCAGAGGGACTGGCAGAATGAAAGGCGCAGACACTTGTTTCCAGGAAGATTGAAGTCAAATAAATACTAACTAGGGAAGCAGTTCACATAGTTTGGGAGTTTGGGGGGATTGTTTGTACCTGTTGCAAGGTCATCAGGAGAATCTGTGTGGAGAGCTTCAATGATCAGAGAGAAGGTTCCCTGGAGGAAGGACAGAACGACAGAAGACAAACCAGAACTGTTTACAAAAGAATCAAAGGATCCCGGGCAACCCAGTGGCTGCAGATCCGTGCGCAGCGTGTCCTGGGGAGGGTCTGTGTACCTCTCTTGCCTGATTTCACTTTCCTTAAGGATATGGAACAACTTTCTAGAGTGGTTTCCTGACATGTTTTTTCAGCCTGTTAATACAGGATATCGTGTTTGAAAGAAAAGAAAGAAGACCGCGGAGCAGGCGGGGTTGGAGGGGCTTGTGTGCAGTCTTCTGGGGAAGGAGCCAGGGAGAGGCGCTGGGGGCGGCCAGGCTGCGAGGGCGACTGACAACCGGCCGGTCCAAGAGCTGCGGAACTGGGATTCTCCCACGTGAAGGGGTCCTTTCAACTCCGCGGCTCGGCGCGCAGACCGGACACGGAAATGTCCCAGGACCTCGGCCTCTCCGCCTCACTCTACCCTGGCTGTCACCCCGCGCACCACCCCCTCGCCGCTGCCACCGCCTGTAAGTCACCCGGGCGTGGAGGCGGTGCCCCAGGGCCCCGCAGAGCGTGGCGCCCACCGGCCCGGGCACTCCCCCGCCGCGCCCCGGCCTCCCGGTCTTCCCCGCCCGCCCCGCGCCCTTAGGTGCGGCGCTCACCGGCCAGGTGAAGCCAAAGGGGAAGCGGATGGGGTTGCTGAAGGCGGGGTCCGCGCCCGCGCCGTCTGGGAGGCTGAAGGAGTCGATGCCCAGCACCGGGGTGACGGCGCTGCCGTAGGTGCAGGGCGGCTCGGGGGACACGCTGGCCTGGTAGTGCTTGAGGCACACGCGGAAGAAGGTCCTGCAGGAGCAAGGCGGCGGCCCCGCGCCCCCGCGGCAGCAGTTGCGGTTCCCCAGCAGCCCCTTCTTGTTGACGAACTCCTGCAGCTTCAGCTCGAACACCCCGGAGCTCCAGACCTGCGGGCGAGACGAGGGCGTGGGGCGCCTGGCGCGGGAATCCCCTCCGGCCGCGTCCTTCCCTGGGCGCTGCCCCCCGCGCGGCCCGCTCCCCGGGGTCCCCCCCCCCCCGACGCCACAGGCCACCGGGGCGTCCGGCTGACAGCCCACCCGACGGCGCGGCCCCGGGGCCCCGCGTGGCAGCTCACCTGGCACAGCAGGGCCGAGAGAACGGCGAGGGCCAGGGCGCACCGCCCGCCCATGGTGCACCGCCCGCGGCGCCGGCCCTCCTCGCGTCCCCCCGCCTTGTCTTCCGAAGTCGTCAGGGGACGCTGGAGGAGGAAGGTGTCCCCGGGAGCTCGGGCAGGAAAGCGCCGCCGCTCTGCCTCGGGCCGAGATAATCCGGACTTCTCTCCTGAAGGGTCCGGCTCCGGCTCTTTCGGAGGCCGAGGTTCCTTAGGTCCTCCTTGAGGAGGCGACAGCGGCCCCGGGGATGCGCGAGAGATAAAGGGGAGTCTCTCCGGAAAGACAGCTCCTGGCGCGGCAACTTTCGGTTTTCCCTTCTTTCTTCCAAAGAGCGAGTAGGTAGGGGTCGTCTGCTTCCTGGTTTTGTCTCAAGCTTGTTGGCCGGGGGAAAAAAAAAGAAAGAAAGAGGGGAGAGAAAGCGTCCAGATATTCAGCCCGATTCCCAACGAGCTGCAGGGCTCCCCACGAGTCCGTTTATCGAGCTGTGGTCTGGAAATCCCACGCGCGAGGCAGTAATCCGGGGCCGTGGAGCGGGAGCCGCCCGGCCGGCTCACTCGGGGGCGGCGGTCCCGGGAGCGCCCTGGACCCGAGGCTTTCCCAGGGACCCAGCCAATGCCATCCAGGTCAACGTCCGGGGTCCCGGACCGGGTCGAAGCGGAAGCTGCGCGCCTGGCTGTGCGTCCAGTGCGGCGCCGGCCGGGGTTCGCGGGCGCGAAGGGGCTCGGGCTCTCCCGGCGCCGCCGCCTTATATCCCGCTGGCCGCCCGCATGGCTAATGAGATGCAAATGAGCAGCCCCCCAATCTGGCGAGAGCTGTCACAAAGGAGCCACTTTTCCAAACCCTCCTCTCAATGGATCGCCAAATGGTCAGTGAGCTGTAAAATGTGCAACCCTCCTAGGTGAGGCCGCGTCCGGCCTTGGGAACCCTCCGGTCGCCGCGGCGCCCGCCTCCGTCCCCTCTCCGGCCGCGGCCGGGTCCTGGGGTGTGGGGGGAGGGGGGTAAGTCGGAAGCCCAGTCCCCAGTGTGCCGCCCCTCCGCCCAGGCAGCCTCTTCCTAAGGAGGAGTCTCTGGGGCGGGGGACCGGGGCGCAGGGAGGGGAGGGTGTGAGCAGTGGGCAGACGGTGGCCAAAGGGCAGCGGCAGTTTCGGGAAGTTTGGAAAGCTCTGACACCCAGACGCCTCCCGGACAGCGACTCTGCGTCTGGAAACGCAGAGGTGAGCGCGGCGCCCTCGGGGACCCCGTTTCCTCGAGCTCGGGGTGTCCTCGCACGGGTCGGCCGCCGCTGGGGGCGGGGTCCGGGTAGCGCCGGGGATCCTGACGTCTCCAACCGCCGCCCCCCCTCCGCCCCCAACACACACACACACACCCTTCTGGGCGCGATTCGCGGCCTCCGCCACCTTTCCTGGGTCTCCGGCCCCTCTCTCCTGGGTATTACCCCCTCGGCCTCCCTCTGCTTGGTAAAAAGTGAGTTTGGTGTGTGTCGTTCGCGTGGCTGTCATTAAGGCAGTCTGTTATTGTGCGCGGCTGAATCAGTGGCTCTTTGTGCGCTCAGCTGTATGGTAATGCAGACCGCACCTGCTCCCCGCACAATGCAGAGAGAAAGAGCTCCCCTCCGCGCGCGCGGCGGCCTCTGCAACAATGTCCGGCACATGTTCTAAAGCCTCTCCAGCATGGCCCCCCCAGCCCGCCACCTTCGCACAACCATCACCTTATTAGGTTTTTACGCGTCCATCAGACACTAGAACTTTTGTTTTCTTTTTTTTTTTTTTAAGGGAAATGAGTTTATTGGGAGGGCCGAGAACGCACGTTATCTCACAATGCGCTAAGTTGCTTTCAAGCTTGCGGGCACAGTGCAGAATTGAGGTGGGGCAGGGACTCCCACTCTGGCATCCAGCCTCGCGCAGGGCTCACGGTGAGGTCTCTATCCCACCCCTATCTGCTCCTCCTTCCGTCTCCCCAACCCCCAACACCCGCGCAGCGTCATCCAGGGCGAAAGGTGTGAGTGTGGAGTAAAGGTCACGTTGATGAGCAGTACCGCGTAGGGCGCCGGGTCACTACGGCCTCGCCAGAGGTGTGCCGTAGCCGGCTTATTGCTAGGGACTTCACTGTCCTGGCAAAATGTGGCTTTCATTGTGGCAGATGTTGAGATCACAGAACGCCCGGGGAGAGGGAAACTCCTCAAAGACCAAGCTGAAGTCCTCCATGGTCATCCCTCCAGCTGTTAGGCAACAGGCTCCCAAATACCTATCAAGTTTCAGGACAGATTTTAGGTTTTCCACTGTTGCCAGAGAAGCAAAGAATTAATCAAAAGTAATGTAATCCAAGGCTGAGGTGAGAAAGGCAGGCTTGGACCCCACCAGAACCCCCTACAGTTTGGCTCAGAACAAACGGAGACTTCAAACCTTCTTGTGGCCCCACGATGGTGGCAACCCCAGTGTGGCCGCCCGCTGGGGACTTTTTGAGGACTCACTGCATCACCACCCGGCTGGACCAGCGCGAATCCTAATTTAATCTTGCCACCTAGTGTCTGCATCCTTTTTTCACTACATCCATGTTTCCTCTGAACGCTAATTTCTCAGAACTCTGCTCCCTAATGCATGGAAGCTGGTGTGTTTACGTGAGAGAGGGAGAGAGAGAGGAGAGGGAGAGGGAGAGAGGTGGGTGGGGAGAGCTGAGAGGGTTCAGGGAGCAGGAGGGGGCCAAGGAAAGGAACATGAGATCTAAGTCCTCTGTGCTTCCAGACTGAGAGTAGATTTCAGTAAGAAATGAAATATCAGGAACCTTTTAATTAGAAAATGGAAGTGAGAAACAGGCTCACTTGAATAACTGTTTAGAAAACTGGAAATAAAAAGTTCCACACGCAAGGGCTTAAACCTTAGGGTGGGGGGAAGACTTGCCCCAAATCTTTAACAAACCCCCCTCAGTATCAAGTATTTGTTAAATTGACATGGCACAGATTTCTCGATTACAGCGGCAAAGCGGAACTGAAAGGCATCGTAAAATCCATCAGAATCCTGCCCAAAGCGTTCATTCTTTTCCAGCTTAATTTATGCCACGCGATTCTGTATTGGGGAAATCAAGCAGAAAGCCCTTTTCTTGTCCTTTCTCTTCTTCTTGCTCTTCTTTCCTCCACTTTCTTCCTCCCATTCTCTCTCTATCTTCTTCTCCTTCTCTTCCCCCCTCCCACGTTGGTCACTCTCCCCCTCTTCCTTTCAAAGCGGAGCTAACGGGAGACTGTTTAACTTCAGTGTTTCTATAGGAGTCTGTTGTAGTTTAACTCCTGCACACCAGTAGCTGAGATGAACAAAAGAGAGACTCGAGGTCCAACTATTCACCCTTTCTTTGCTCTTTAATTTTCATTGATTGGGAAGACAAGGGGAGCCCTTAGGGATCCAGGCTGAAGGGGGATGACACGCCTTTAGACGCCATCAGCCCCCTAGCCAGCCATCTGCTCTGAACCAAATGGCGTTTTTTCACTCCCTAACTGCATGTCTGTATACTCCCGCAACTAAGTGCTCTGAACCCCCTAAATGCAGGAGGGAGCTTAAGCTTGACTGTGTTAAATAGATTTGCCCCATGTTGGCTGTAGCAGCCAGATTCCCTCCTCCCCCACACTCCATAAATCCTCACCTAGCTCATTAGGAAAAAGCAGAAAACTTTCTTTTAAATACTTTTTGATGTCTCAGCAAATTTACTGTACAAAGTGAGGCTCATTAGGGCTTAGAAGGCACCCAATATATTAGACACAGGAGTGGAGAGAGGGATTTGCCGCCTGGTGTTGGTGTTTTATTTTTGCCAGGCATGCATAGCTTGTAGCCTGAATGACCCCAGTGACCAGGGTATGTTCAGTTGTATAATCAGAACCATGGCTACAACAACTGCAACTGAGTTCTCTATTTGTTGGAGACCCTGATTATTCTACCCACCATTTACTAGGCCTCATGGGAATAAAAGCTTATGACCATCATTTTATCAAATTAAATATGCCACTCTCAGCAGTGTGTGAGCTGACACTGTGGTCACCCAATCCTGTTTCCATCTCCCTTGCCCAAAGAAAGGTTCTGTTCCTGCGGAACATGTGTGGTGGAGGTTGTGGCTGGGGGAGGAGGGTCTGGGCAGATTGCAGTGAACAATGCCCAGAATAGGCTCCAGACTCTAAGCCAGACCCAGGTTCAGTTTTCTGTGTAAACAAGTCTGGAGACTTGAGGGGGTTTGTATTTTCTTAGGCCAAGTGAATACTGTATACCCAACAGACAAGTTCTGTTATTCCTAAGAAGAATTAGGGTCCTTGTTCAGAACAAGAAAATGAAAAACTTCCAGGCAGCAAATCTGGTGTTGATCAAACATGCCAGCTTACTTGAAAAAGAAGAAGATGATGAAGGGAACCTAAAGCAAGTTTATTAATTGGTATTAGTATCACATCTCCACCAACACGCCCTCTGCCCAGTCTCCATCAGTCACAGATTTGGAATCGTCCAGCCCTTAGGGAACAGAGAACTGGCCTGCTTGCTGGGCGTCTAGGGAGCTCTTACAGATATCTGTGTGTAAAACCTCATCCGTGCCGGGTAGCTGTTAGGGATATTTCCTTACTTCTTAAGGACTGAACCCCAGAGGCGCATGGATATTTACAAGACACACTGACTCGAATGTAGCACGGCGTTCGCACCTGATCACTCCGTTGCGTCTGGATCACTCTACAGAAGATACACGGTAACCCGAGCCGTCCATTGGTCCACTGCGGGAAAGAGAGGCCGATCTAGTTTATACTCAGGCTCCCAGGCTTCCCTCTCGCTGAGGATAAAAATGTACACAGCACACCCAGGGAGGCCCCGCAGCTCGGCCTCCCCTGCCCTCGCAGGAGCATGTCCCTCGGACGAGGGGCGGCCCGCAGACACCCAGGACCATGACCTGTGGTTAGCAGGTTGGCGCGGGGCAGAGGCCACGAGGACAGGAGGACAGGGCCCAGGGAAAACCCAGTGGACTTGAGGCCTCCCCTCCACCCTCCCTTCCACACTCGCCGCGGGTGGAAGGACGGCTCGGCCACGTGGTCCGGAGCGGGGACCCCCAAGCCCAGAGGCGCAGCGCGGGCCGGGGTTGCGGAGGCATGCGCTGGTTTGCATGAGAAAGGCGGTCGCGTGGCTCAGCTGGCGGCGCGGAGGCCGCTCCTCCGACCCCGGGATCATCTGCCCGGCGGTCCGCGCTCATCTCCATGACAAAGCGCTGTTTACCTGGCGCGGCTCCGGGCGCCTTTGTCCGGATCAGATGACCGCGCAGCTGCTCCGCGCTCCCGCCCGAACGGCCCCCGACTGAACGCGCCGGGCCAGGCGCTCCGGAGGACTGCCTGGAGGGGGTGCGGCGCCAGTGGGCGCTCCAGAGAGCGGCTTGGAGTGGGTGGCGGCGGCAGGCCGGGCACCCGCCGCAGGGGCACGCGCGCGGGCTGGGAGGGCGAGGTAGACGGGCCAGCCCTGGTCCCCGGGCGCGCGGCACGGGGGCGCACGCGGTCACCTGCACCGAGGCGCGGCCCCACCTTGGAGTCGCCGGCCCGAGGCCGCGACAGACAATGCGGGTGGGAAAGGAAGGGCGGCGAGAGCGACCCGGGCCCGCCCGGGGTCTCGCTCCAGGACACGCCCCGCCCGGAGGTCGCCGGCACCTGTCGCCGGTCCCGGCGCCCGTCAATCAACGGCCCGCGGGGCGGGGCGCAGGCTGGGCCCGAACCGCCCGGACTCCGCCCCGCCCGCTTGTCCCCGCCGGACCCGAGCGGCTCCGCGCGGCTGCGCCGTCCTGCCCGGCCTCCCACCTCCTTTCTGCGAGCATCTGCCCGCAAAGGAACAGATGTGGGCACCTGCGGTGACAGGCCGCATATGTTCCATCCTATTCACAGGCATTCAGACGTGGCCACAATGAGCGGCCTTTGTGCGCACAGTCACTAAATATATTAATCTGCACTCCCCAGAGCACCGGGCTGTTTAATTTTTCACTAGCAATAACATCTGATCTAATCCTTAAATCGGCTCCCAAAAGCCTGCTCTCCCTCCCTCCTTTTTCTCCTCTTTCTCCCCACCCCCTCCCGAAAAACGTGTGAAGCTATTCAACCTTCCACCTGTTGCCTGCTGAACTGGGCGTGGGTTCCTGCAACGTCTGATGTCGGTCCGGGCTGGGGGTGGCGGTGGGGGTGGGAGCTGGCGGGGGCGACTGTGCGGGAGACGGTGCTGGGCGACATGGCACCGCCAGGGCACGAGTATTAGAAGGAAAATAAACACAGCGTGCGAGGGTGGCTCACGAATGTTGTGCAAACAAAGACCAATGATTATTAAACAGCCTTCAGCATATTCATCCTCTCTGTGGAAGCAACTTAAAAATGTACAAGTTCCCGTTTACCTTTTTATTAAACTCTAATGGTTATTATAAACACCGGCCAATAGGCCACATAGCCCAAAGCGAACGTAAATCTCAGATGTATGACTTAGATTCCTTTTAGCAATATTGTTGTATGACTCTTTTATTTCAGCATCTCGTATTCTGTTTTGGTTTGTTTTCGGTCACAATGATTCCCTTAGTGCCATTGTGGGTGTCACAATGCAGAGGGACATCAGGCTGTGAATGAAGACAGAGGCAGTTTAAACAAACGGAGCTCTTTCTTTCCTCTCCCGTCCATTGTACTGTGAATGGGCCTTCTGCACTCTGCTGCTAGGAAACAGCTTTGCAAAGCCCTACTCCAGTAAATGGGCTGGAGAGAAAGGGACCCCAATAAACAGCCTAAGTATTGGAGAAAAAAGGGGGACAAATTTAGGCAAATGTTCCTTCACCTTCACATCAGCACATTTCCTAATCTCCAAATGTAAGAAATACTTTAAAGCTTTTCAACAGTTTCCTTCCTGCTTGTCATTTTAATTCTTGCTCCCTCCCCTCCCCCACCTCACAGGAAACACGGAGTGGGGACAGCACTGGCTCACCATCAAGATCTGTTTTCAAAATTCTATTTTGTCGTAGGAAAATAGACATGGGGCCCAGGGCTGTTTCTTAATAATCATCACTATGATTGTAAACTGCTCTCCAAAGGGATGCACGGAGGTGTTGCCAGGTACATAGCAGTATGGTTGGTGAGTCTCAATACTTAAGGAACAATCATAAACTATAAATTGTTCTTGTGTAGTTGGAACTGTTCCTATTAACATAGGTAGGTTAATTGAAGCAAGAAATGTAGCTGTTTTCAGGTCAAATAACAGCTTGAGCACGTTAGGGAATGACCCACCACCACCACCTGCATTTCTCATGGGTTTAAACAAAGTCATAGGTCACCACTGAACCAAAGACAGTCAAGGCACATGGGAAACCACGACTGGCTTATCTCAATCACCGTTCACAGCTGGGGCTACTCTCAGACCCAAAGCACATGGCAATGAGAAGGCCAATTCAGTCATTTATTCATTCACCCACTCACCACTCAAGGGACTGGAGGTCTAAAGTGAAATCAGACCTGCTTTCTGCCACCAGATGAATGGTACAAGGAAAGAAATGTTCCCTGGTCTTTGATTTTCAGAAAGTTTGTGTAGGATTAATGTCTTCAATGTTTGAATAGAATTCACCAGTTGAGACCACCAGGGTCTGGAATGTTCTTTGTTGGAATATTTTTACTTACAAATTCAACTTAATAAATATAGGGTTTAAGAGATAGAGATACAAAGTTACCCAGATTTTCTATTTGTTCTTTTGTCAGGTTTGGTAATTCGTTTGGTTCAAGGAATTTCTTCATCTCATCTAAAGGTATTCAGATAGCCTCCTTTTAACCTCTTCAGTGTTAGTAAATCTGTGATACCATCTCCCATCCTTATTATGGGTAACCCATGTCTCCTTTCTATCATGATCAATTTAGCTAAAGGTTTATCAGTTTAATCGATCTTATCAAAGATCAGTCTTCAAGAATCTTCATCCTTCACTTCCTATTGCCTAGTGTCTGAAAAGAGTAATTTCATATATTTTTATCTAGTTTTCTAGTTGTTTAGAGTGGAAGGAACAGTTCTGTAGGATTTATTCCTTCATGGACAGAACTGGAACAGTTAACAGTACTTTGGGCTGCAGGTAACAGAAAACTCTAATTCAATATTCTTAACTGTAAGGAAAAGACTTCATCTCATAGGATAAGGAGGTAGAGTGGTCTGAGTTAAAGTTTGGCTCAACCACATCGTCAAGGCACAGAGTACCCCTCATCTGTCTGCTCCACCTTTCCTGTCTTGCTGGCTTCCAACATGGATGAGCTCTCTTTTGTGGCCGCATGAAACCTTTAGGGATCCAAGCAGTCATAAACAGACATGAGGATAGCTGGTAGAGGAAGTGACACTCTTTTTCAGCGGTAAAGCAATTCTATATTTAACATCAATCACCTATGTAGAATTGTTTTCAAGGTTGTGGCCTTTTTTCTTGCCCAAATTTTTGGAAACATCATACTCTCCCTTAACTTCTCCCTACGTTCAACCTGCAGTTTTTTTCCTTCCGTTTTCTCCTGTTTTTCTCTTTTATGTAAATCCTTCATCCTCTGTTTTTAGATTCTCCCCAAACTGATAAATCTGATGTGTACAATAGAGCACAGGAAAGTGTTTATAGGTGGTATGACGCAGAAGGCGGGGAAAAGGATTCGAACAGTCACATGTAAATGTTTGTGCTCCTTTTACGACTGATTTCTATGTACAATTTTTCTTTTAATATCCCAGGAAAGAGACATGGAAATAATCTTTGGCTTCTCCTCCCCTTCACTGTAATGTATTACCGTCATAAAATATTTTAAGAAACTGTTAGAATTTAGACAGATTTAAGTAATAATTGTGCAACTTACTATCACTGTACATGCAACTTACTTTTTAAAACAGTGTAGTTTCCTTTTAATTATATATTTCCTTTTAATATGCCTACAGATTTTAAAATTTAAATAGTACTTCTAGATTTACAACAAAAACATAGGAATTCCCCACACCATGCATTCCCACTTTCAATTTTTTCCTTTCTGTTTACCTCATAGCTATTTTGTTTGAAATTTACTAATATTTCTTTAAAAGAAATTTTCTAACGCTGTATCTTTTTCAGTTGTGTACAGTCTATAAACTTCCAATTCTAGAAACTGAAGGTTTAACACTTCCACAGGATTTCCTAGACACACACAGTTACGAATCCATAGATGATCACCTCTCATTTTTTCAAAAAGTTACAGCACCCTTTTCATTAGGTTACCATTACTTACCTCATTAACATTATGGAATCATTATTCACAGCTGAGGCATATGCTATGATTACATTTTCTTCTTTGTACAATTTGTCTTTACTGGATTCAACAATTGCCTAATTTGCTTATTGACTTTTCTATGTATCTATTACATATTGTCACCAAACTCTGTAGATCTCCTCTTAAAATACTCAAACACCCCAAGCATTCTATGGACTGACTTTTCCTGGAGATGTGTGTCTAGATTTTGTCCTGAGGTTTCCCACCTCTCTTCACTTGGATTCCCTACTGTCTGGATCCTAAATATTCCTTTTTCTTGGCCTCTTAAATTTTGGAGAGTATCCTCCAGCAGGTATCTGAGATAAAGTATTTGGTAGATAATATTTTTGAACTGTATATCTGAAAAAATCTTTACCCCCACACTTATAATATTCTGATTTTGAGTAGAATTCCATGTTTTATTTTCTTCAGAATTTTGAAACTTAGTGCTCCACTGAATTTCAGTTTCCTGGAATTCTGTTGAGACTTTCCATGCCATCCTGGTTTCCAATCCCTAAATGTATCCTGTTTTTCCTTATGGAAACTCTTTAAGGCCCTTTGTCCCTGGTATCCTGACATTTAGTGATACTGTGCCATCTTGTGAATCTTCATAGGTTTGTTGTGCTGGGCATTGCTGGGTCTCCTTCTTATGTTTTCCTCTTTCTCTATCTCTTTTTCTTTTTGTTCTATTATCCAAGAGTCATCATCAAATTTATCTTCTCTTTAATCAATTTTTAACATTTAACTTATTGCTTTTTAAAAAAATTCTCAAGAGCTCTTATTTTCTGAATGCTCTTTGATATACCTTTTCTTTTTCTTTCACTGATAAATTATCTCCAAAAGCACAGATAATGAAGTTTTTAATATTTTTTCCTCTTCCAAATTTGTTTTTTCCTTTTTCCTTCTTGTCTTTCTCAAATGTCTGTTGACCCTTGATCATCTGTATTAGGAGAAAGGCAGAGGTGTTTATTTGAAGTTCTGTGGGGTAGAACCAAGTGCTGCTAAGTCATAAGGACTGACACAGGGCAATGGGAGGGAGCTTTGGTCAGCTTGCTGCCTCGGCCTCCATAATCTGGCCCCGTGTCTGCACTGTGTGTGTTTCCTGCTCCTAAAGTCTGGGGTGCCTGGCTGCTCCCTCACAACACCTGAATCCCTACCTCCATCTCTTTCCTAGGTTTGCTCTTTCTGCCTATAAGTCCTTCCTCTTCTCATCCAGCCTCAGATCCTACCCTCCCTTCCAGGTTCAACTCTCACATTGTCTCCTCCCTGTCTTCTTCATCCACATGCTATAAAACCCACTCTGTTTCACTTGTTCTGATATTTGAAGTGTTTGTCTCCTCAGCTACACATGCACTCATGACTAGAGACCATCTCACATACTGTTTGTCTGACCCTATGGCACCCAACCAGTATAAGGTGCTGAGTACTGTTTGATTTTAGAAAAAAATATCAACAAGAAATGAAAGTCTTGTAGATGGAATGGAGAGCCCTTCCTGAATTGTTTAATACATACATATGGTGTTACTTCAATTTGGTATTTTTTTTTTTTTTTTTTTTGGCCATGCCACAGAATTTGGGATCTTAGTTCCCTGACCAAGGATCCAACCTGTGCCCCCTGCAGTAGAAGCAGAGGATGAACCACTGGATCACGAGGGAAGTCCCATCAATTTGTTAATGTTTTTTGACTGCTTGATCTGCAAGAGACTCTGCAGGAACAATATCTGACCATCTTACTTTCCAGAGGAAAAGTAAGCTCTCTGGGGCTTGCAGCAGCCCTCCTGAGATATGTCATGTGTAAAGATAGGTTTTGAAATGCATCTTAAATAACTTGATATTATTAATTGAAGTTTGGCACATATTTCAAAATAAATTAGATTGGTTTCAAAGTTATTCTGTCATCACACTTGGCTACCAAAATGTTCTCTTGGTTGTAAATAAAAGACTGGCTTTGTGGCTAGAGGAATGGGAATCGTGTATAATCTGAAGGCTGCTTATCTCCCAACCCAGGGAAGCATGTCTTTAACATGAACCTTACTGGCCTCAAAGCAGCTGCCAAAACAATGTCGAGATGGCGGATTCCTTCCAATGAACATTCAGGGTTGATTTCCTTTAGGATTGACTGGTTTGACTTTCATACAGTCCAAAGGGCTCTCAAGAGTCTTTTCCAGCACCGCAATTCAAAAGCATCAGTTCTTCAGCACTCAGCCTTCTTTACGGACTAATGCTGAAGCTCTAATACTCGGGCCACTGGCTCCAGAAGAGCCATCTCATTGGGAAAGACCCTGATGCTGGAAAAGGCTGCGGGCAAGAGAAGAAGGGGGAGACAGAGGGTGAGATGGTTGGATGGCATCACTAACTCAATGGCCATGAGTTTGAGCAAACTCCCAGGACACGGTGAAGGACACGGAAGCCGGGCCTGCAGCAGTTCATGGGGTCACAAAGAGTCGGACTAAACAACATGGCTTCCAGAGTCCAAATTCCTTAACGTGAGACGCATCCTCGCTTCCTCCCCTGCCCTGGCGGCCGCCCTGGGCTCTCGCCCCATTCCAGACCGCAGGTCTGCCTACGAAGAACCGTAGGCTCCAGAATAGTTCGGGGGACAGTCGCCGTCACAGCCATGTTAGTGTGGCTCCTCTCTACCTAGGGCTTGCTATGCTCCACCGTGTCCTTGCTCAGCCCCAGCTGGGAAGCGCCGGCCTCCTCCCAATCGGACAGATGGCAAGGTGGACAGAGCGCCAAGCCTGAAAGTCCACCCGTTCAGGACCCCCTGCCGCCTGCTCCTCCGGGCCCGGGGCTCAGGTCCAGCCTGCCGTCTCCCGGCAGCTCACCCCACCCTCTCAGCGCGCTCATGCAAAACTGCGGCGTAGGACCCCGACAGCCGCGCCGCCCACAGCACCAACGGGTACGCCTGCGGAAGCCGAGCGAGTCGTGACCCCGACCTCGGAAGCACAGCACGGTTTCCGAGGCAACGGGCGCGGACCCGGCGCCGCCACGCGCTCTCAGGCGCCTGCGCGTGGCGCTCCCGTCGCCTCCGGGCCGCGCAGGCCCCGCCCCCGTGTGGGCGGGGCGCTCTCGCGACCGGAAACGGAAGTGCGGACCGCTGCTGAGGGCCGAGGGCTGCGCGGGCGCGTCTCCGGTGTCCTGGCGCATCTCTAGGTAGGGCTGGGCCTGCGGGGCTGTCGCCTCGGCGCTGAGGGTGCACTCGCGATTCGGCGCCGTCGCGGTCCCTGAGCCGCGTCTCTCTGACCGCTCGATCCCACAGCTGTGCGCCCTGCCTGCTTCCCCCGGTGCCACCCTGGCCCGACTCAGGAAAGAGGCGTGTGGTTCCGGGTCCCCGGTGACCCTGTCCGCCGTCTCTCGGGGAGGCGTCCTCTGACCTCTGCACGTGCGTCTCCGAACTTGGGCGCCTCTCCCCAGTCACCCTTCAGTCCTGAACTGGGGCTCCAGCACCCAACAAGCACCATGCCCTCGGGGGAAGAAAGGCCGGCGGGATGATGCTTAGGTGGCCGAGAACGTGGTTTATCCTAGACGGCCAAGGAGGGGACAGAAGTCTCTGTACTGGAGGGGGGATTCCAGCTGAGCTTCGAATAAGTAGAAGTTTAGAGGTCCTGTGGGCAGGAAGCCATTCATTACTGCAGCAGGAACGGTGCTTACCACATGCAGGTTTGAGACTGTCGGACGTATTCTGGAAAATATTTGCTTAGAGTTGGGGTTGGCAGGAAGCTTGAAAGAACTGTGTTCACTCAGCCTTGTCTGACTGCCACTTTATGGACTATGGCCTGCCAGGTTCCTCTGTCCATGGGATATTCCCGGCAGCCAGGCTCCTCTAGCCATGGAATTTCTCCCGCAAGAAGACTGGAGTGGGTTGCTATTTTCTCCCCCAGGGGATCTTACCAACCCAGATATCAAACCCATATCTCTTGAGTCTCCTGTGTTGCAGGCGGATTCTTTATCACTAAGCCACCAGGGAAGCCCCTTTGGCAGAACTAGGAACAACAAGAGATGTGATCAAATAAGTGATTAGATCTTGGTATTAAAAGAGTCATCTGGCAGGTGTACTGATGGTGGTCTGGGATGTCTATGGGTGATAAGATGGCATTTGCAGTCATATACGGAAGAGAAGTTTTAGGACTGTAAGTTTGGAAATGGTATTGGGGAGAACTTGGAAGTGAGTTTGATGCGGGGAAAAGTGAGGTGGTATTTCAAGTGACTTCCACATTTTTGACTTGAGCACTTGAGGTAATTCAGAGAACGGGAAGCAGGTCTGCAGCATCAGGCTCCTCACCTCTCACCTCCCAAAGAGATTGTGCTCTGTGAGTCCTCAGCGTCTAGTGTGATCCTTGTGCTTTGTTGCTGTTGTTTCTGAACCATGGCCTCCCAGCATCATGTGCTGTTTGACCTGCGTGTGTTTGGACCTTGCTGTTGGGAGCTACCCCCTGCCCCACCGCAGCTTCACACATTCTTTGTATTGATTTCCCCAGCATCTGCCATCTCTCTGCTCACTGGAGTGGCTTTCTCCCAACCTGGCCATTCCTCACTCAGAAATCTAGCAGAGCCTTCCTTAGTGTGTTGTGTTTGTGGAAAGCAGTGAGAATTCCTTGGTTGTGTCACACTGCTCACCACCACACGTTCCTTCTGACCACCTTACCTCCCAGTTTCTTTGTGTAACTTCTAACCACTCAGCCTTCCAGACACTAAAGTATCTAATCACTTCTGGCCGACAGATTTCTCACCTGAGAAATGAGAAGACTGAAGTAGGTGATGGCTGAGGTCACATTCAGTTGTTATTATTCTGAGGTTCTGCCTACTCCCCGAGCCTGAATCAGTGGCATTCATGGGGCAGATTTTACTGTAAAGCTAATAAAGTTCAGACTTCAGCATTCTCACTTTCACAGGCCCCTTCCAAGGCACTGGGAAGGGCCTCAGTGGTCTTTAGTTTATAATTGTGTGTGTGTGTGTGTGTGTGTGTGTGTGTGTTTTAAAGAAGGGCCTCAAATTATTAAGTTTCAGCCCCCCACAGTGCTTGGATTCCTTTAGTTACCTCCTATTGTCTTGGTTTTGTGTTCCTGTCCTTTACTTTCCCTTCCCAACCTCCCATTCCTCCTTGTGTGTGCTTCTTATTGAGGCTTAGAGAGAAGCCACTGGTCATAGCAAACACCCTTTTCCAGCAACACAAGAGACGACTCTACACATGGACATCACCAAATGGTTGATTACAAAATTGGATTGTATTCTTTGCGCCCAAAGATGGAGAAACTCTATACAGTCAGCAAAAAAAAGACCTGAAACTGACTGTGACTCAGATCATAAGCTCCTTATTGCAAAATTCAGGCTTAAATTGAAGAAAGTAGGGGAAACCACTAGGCTACTCAGGTATGAGCTAAATCAAATCACTTGTGATTATACAGTGGTAGTGACGATTTGATTCAAGGGATTAAATCTGGTAGACAGAGTGCCTGAAGAACTATGGGTGGAACATCATAATACTGTACATGAAGCAGTGACCAAAACCACCCCCAGAAAAAGAAATGCAAGAAGGCAAAGCAGTTATGTGAGGAGGCCTTACACATAGCTGAGGAAAGATGAGAAGAGAAAGGGAAAGATACACCCAACTAAATGCAGAGTTCCAGAGAATAGCAAGGAGAGATAAGACTTTCTTAGATGAACAATGCAAAGAAACAGAGGAAAACAATAGAAAATACGAAAAATTAGGTCTCTTCAGGAAATTTGAAGATGTCAGGGGAACGTGTTACTCATGGATGGGCATGATAAAGGACAGGAACGCTAAGGACCTAACAGAAGTAGAAGAGATTAAGAAGAGGTGGCAAGATTACACAGAAGACTGATACAAGAAAGCTATTATGACCTGGATAGCCATGATAGTGTGGTCACTCACCTAGAGCCAGACATCCTAGAGAATGGAGTCGAGTGGACCTCAGGAAGCATTACTACAAACAAAGCTAGTGGAGGTGATTAAATTCCAGCTGAGCTATTTACTAGTAAAATCCTGAAGGAGGGTACTGTTAAAGTGCTGCATCAATATATCAGCAAATTTGGAAAACAGCAGTGGTCACAGACCTGGAAAAGGTCAGCTTTCATTCCAGTCGCAAAGAAGAGCAATGCCAAATAATGTTTCAAGTACTGTACAGTTGCTCTCATTTTGCATGCTCGTAAGGCTATGATCACTTAGAGCCAGACATCCTGGAATGTGAAGTCAAGTGGGCCTTAGAAAGCATTACTATGAACAAAGCTAGTGGATGTGATGGAATTCCAATTGAGCTGTTTCAAATCCTGAAAGATGATGCTGTGAAAGTGCTGCACTCAATATGCCAGCAAATTTGGAAAACTCAGCAGTGGCCACAGGACTGGAAAAGGTCAGTTTTCATTCCAATCCCTAAGAAANGATGGGGAGACAGTGGAAACAGTGTCAGACTTTATTTTGGGGGGCTCCAAAATCACTGCACGTGGTGACTGCAGCCATGAAATTAAAAGACGCTTACTCCTTGGAAGGAAAGTTATGGCCAACCTAGATAGCATATTAAAAAGCAGAGACATTACTTTGCCAACAAAAGTCCATCTGGTCAAGGCTATGGTTTTTCCAGTGGTCATATATGGATGTGAGAGTTGGACTGTGAAGAAAGCTGAATGCTGAAAAATTGATGCTTTTGAACTGTGGTGTTGGAGAAGAGTCTTGAGAGTCCCTTGGACTGTAAGGAGATCCAACCAGTCCATCCTAAAGGAGATCAGTCCTGGGTGTTCATTGGAAGGACTGATGCTAAAGCTGAAACTCCAGTACTTTGGCCACCTCATGTGAAGAGTTGACTCATTGGAAAAGACCCTGATGCTGGGAGGGGTTGGGGGCAGGAGAGAAGGGGACAACAGAGGATGAGATGGCTGGATGGCATCACCGACCTGATGGGCATGGGTTTGGGTAGACTCTGGGAGTTGGTGATGGACAGGGTGGCCTGGTGTGCTGCATTTCATGGGCTCGCAAAGAGTTGGACATGGCTGAGCAACTGAACTGACTGAAGTCTATGATCAGAATCCTTCAAGCTAGGCCTCATCAGTGTGTGAACTGAGAGCTTCCAGATATACAAGCTGGGTTTAGAAAAGGCAGAGGAACCAGAAATTGGTAACATTCCTTGGGATATAGAGAAAGCAAGGGAATTCCAGAAAATCATCTATTTCTGCTTCATTGGTGGCTTCCTTAGTGGCTCAGATACTCTCAAGATAGCAGAGTAGGAAGATGTGCGCTTATCTTCTGTGAGAACTCCGAAATTGCCACTAGCTGCTGAACAGCCATGGACAAGAGAATGTTGGATCCCACCCAAAAAAAAAAAAAAAATACCCTATATCCAAGGGCAAAGGAGAAGCCCCAACAAGATGGTAGGAAGGGCGAAATCACATTTAGAATCAAACTGCATACCCACCAGAGATACTCAGAGGGCTCAAACAAAACCTTGTGAGCCGCACAAGACTGAGCCAGTCCTGCCTTTGAGTGTTTGAGTGTCTCCTGTGAAGGCACAGATCAGCAAGCTTTCCACAGGGACAGGGGCTCTGGCTGCAGCAGACCTGGGTGGTGCAGCTTGTGACTTAAGTCCTCTTGGAGGAGGTCACCATTAGCCCCACCACAGAGCCACTGGGCAGACGACCCACAACCTGGAGAACAATTATACCAAAGAAGTTCTCGCACTGTTGCAAAAGTTCTAGGGACCACAACAGATTTCCCAAGCCGGGGATCCTGCAAAGGGACTGAGAGCCCCCAGGGAATTTGACTTTAAAGGCCAGTGGGATTTGATTACAGAACTTCCACAGAACTCGGGAAGCAGACTCTTGGCGGGCACAAACAAAACCTTGTGCACACGAGGACCCAGGAGAAAGGAGCAGTGACCCCACAAGAGACTAAGCCAGACTTGCCTGTGGGTGTCTAGGAGTCTCCAGCAGGGGTGTGGGTGGACAGTGGCCTGCTGCAGTGTCAGGGGCACTGAATACAACAGTCCTGGGAGTCCTGGCATGCTGACATAAGTCCTTTTGAAGGAGGTTGCCATTACCCCTACCATAGATTGGCCTCAGGACAAACTACAAGGAGAGACACAGCCCCACTGTCAACAGAAATTGGGTTAAGATTTACTGAGCATGGCCATGCCCATGAGAGC